TTGCTGCTGTAAAACTGATGTGACTCAAAGGATATTGAACAACATCTAAATCGAAGTGTGAAGTATAATAATTTTTTTCCCAACCATTCCATGTCATATTCGTTGTATTTGTTTATATGAAAATAAAATATGAAATAATTCGAATGTGTGTCAATTCTTTTTGAGTTTATAATTCTCGCTTATCGTTTTCAGTATTTAATAGATGGGCTTCTGTTTGTTAAAAATGATCTCTTACGACATATATCGATGACTGCAATATGTAAAGAAGAGTAATTAATTGAATATAAGTTAACATAAATAATCAATTCAATGGCTGAGACGATGGAAAATAAAAATTTCCGAAAAAGATGCTTAGTATACGAGACTAATGATTCAATGTAGTTAGGGAAACAAGACTAAAGGGATATACTTCTCGATGACCAAATCTAAATTCAGATGGTTTGCGAGGGATATGATAAGAACGACAAACATAATCTTCTTTACGATAACAAAAGTGAGAAGTTCAGCTTTATTTACATTCTTTGCTTTTGTGTCAATTGCTGAAAATATATGTATATGATTTCAAAGGATCTTTTAGTGAGAGGAAAAAACTTTAATCAATATATCATAGCGAGTTTTATTTTTGTATTACTAGTTATTGGGTTGATTTATTGTTCTACAAAGTAAAGATCAGTAAATCCTAGAATTTATGTTTGTATTAAACTAATTTTAGCTCTGCGAATCGACCTTTGTTTTTGTTTTTGTTTTGATGCATGTACTCTATGTGAAGTTATTTAAAATCAAAGATAATCGCTCATTTTTCCGAACATTTGACTTTCATATATTCGAAATTCCATTGTTATTAGTGTTCTATTTTGTGATGATCCATTGATACATGTTAATTGTAATAGGTGAGAGCAGCAAGTGCCAAAATGATACGAAAATTTCGATTTCGATTTCATTAAATCAATTCAAGTCGAACCATCCTAAATGAAAATCTCATTGAATAATATTACTTTATCTTACAGAAATTCTGCAGTTTAGTACCATTTTTGACTAATAAAAAGGTATGTATAAAGCAGAATATTAAAAAAATGTCTTAAAAAACTTTGATGAAATTTCATTAAAAAATAAATAAGAATTTCAAAGAATACTGACAGTTAGAACTGTGTTCTTTATCAGTGAAATAAACTCATTTAAATATGATTCATCATGACGTCTCTTTGTAAAAATGTCGAAAGGTAAAATGCCGAAGAAAAAACTGTTCAAACAATTGAGTTTAGCCATCATATAAATTTTACTTTGAATGTAAATATACATGTTGATCAGTGAAATAACCTAGTAATATCACATTCATGTGCATGAAATCTTGAACTTTTAAATATTGTTTTCGCCAAGCAAAATAGCTCGCAATATGTCACGCATCTAGGTATTTATTTTTATCAAATAATTGATTACATGATTATATTTAAAAGTTCAACAGATAATGTTTTTTTTTGTCTTATAAATCAATTAAATGTCGCATTGATAAAAAAAGAGGCCAATATGGATAAAGTAAATGAAATTCATTGAATATGTTTTCCGGATATTCTTGATCGAATTATGTCCAATTCTATTATCTGTTGACACATATACTTCTTATTGAGTTAATTTTATCAAGTAATGTAAATAAATTAGTTTTCTAAATTATGTCAGTTGTGAAAATTAGAGTGCAAGCTATGTTGAAATTAATATTTAGCTAAGTTGATGTATTGATGTTTTATGTGAACAAGATTTAATGAAATTCAAACCAAATGATGTTCAAAGCCGTCTACATTGAACTAATCATCCATGTTATTACTAAACAGTAGCTGGCAATCTGTTAAGACTTCAGTGGTTTGAGCAGCTTATACTGATTTTCATATATCAGAGTGATATGTTTTTTGCGAAAGAAACCTTTTTTTAGTTTTAACTCGTTGCATATCAATGAAAATATCCATGTAGCTGATCTATTTTAGATGGTAACTGATCTTGATTATACTCGTTTTTTAAGTGAATCAGCTTTACGTCGGCAACCAAATGCAATTCGTGAAGCTAGTAAGTGTATATAAATGATTAAAAATGAAGGTCAATTGGAATATTTTATAATGTTGTAAGAAACATCTCAAAAGAGTTCAAGTTCATTTAGAGATTTGACTAAAGCATCAGATTTTTATCAGTAAAAAGCCCAATATTGCCTTCAGGATATGAGATTTGAC